TCACAACTTCCAGGACTTTGTTTCTCATGTTATTCCCTACTAGAATGAGGTATGCTGCAACTTCCTAAATTAGCTGCCAGAGTTGCCTAGATATATATATTTAAGAGACAAAGCCTGAAGGCAAGATTTAACTTTTAGGAATTTCCTCTCTCAGCATGATACACACAGCAATGATGGCAGGAATCGCATCAGCTACTGTCTTGCTCTCTTATATTCATGTGGCAAGGCCATGCAAGACCATGGCTGAGAGATTAACATACTGTAATTCTAAGCAACCGCCAGTTGCTACAACCGCTTCTTTCTGCAGTGCCCTTGTATTACAGAAATCCTATGCATTGAAATCTTCGTGCATCTTAACCAGTGAAAGTGAGGGTGAGAATGTGAGTTTAGTAGCTAATCCTAGATACACCTTTGCCCTGCCACTATGATTGAATGCACCACTGGTATTCTCAGAGGATTTTTCAAGTGATTTTCCATATTATGTAGCCAGTTCTGAGTAATTTTTGTGTACAATTGTAAAAATGTTTCAGTCATCTTTTCAACAGATTCTTAAATATTGCAACGAAGTTATATGCAGTGTAACAGACAATCCACATATTTGATGACACAGAAACAGACATGTCCTTTGATAAAGCCAGCAAAAAGCAGTAAATATATCTGTTAATATTTTAGAAAATATTTAGAGATGAAAATGTAAAAAACTGAAGAAGTATAGCCAGAATTTAAGGACTCCATAATTACTGCAACATGTAGGAGCCACTACTGTGGCTTACAATTGCTCACAGTAGTTGGCAATCTCAACAGATCCCTTGCTATATAAACATTGCCTACTACTTCTTAAATCCCAGTGGCTTCTCATCTGATCCAAGATATGCTGACATGTCATTTGTAGCGCATCATTCATGAAAGAACCACATCCAAGTCTACAATATTTTTTGTAGATTTGGTACGGACACTTAGGAAGACAACTATTATGTTTGTTTGCTTGTCCAGAGAAGTCTGCATGTGTTATTTATTACGTTCTACAGTGAGAAGCATTGTAGGGTCAGACTGAAATGTCATCCTGCCTGAAATTTTCTCATTTTTCAAGTGTAAGTTAAGTTAGACAAAAATCCAAGATTGTTCTCTCTCTTCTATGCTGCAGTTCCCATTAATGCACTCAGAAATGTGATCACAAGCATTTGGACATATTATAATAAACTGAAAAGCTGTTCAATTGTCCAGAACTGGAGTTTCAAAACTAGTTGAGAGTTTCTATCTGATGATAATTGCAAACCTTAAGTGCACATACAGACAGAAAAAAATTATGAGCAGGTTTGAAGAGTGAGTGAATCGGTGCTAAAAACTTAGGCTGGGGGTTAATTTGCACTAAGTTAAATGCTGAACCAGAAAATATAAATGGCAATCCAAGGTGGAAAGCCTAAAAATTTTCTATTTTGACAGCACACTATCAAGTGATGCTATCTAAAACTGAGGTTGGCATTGTCAATAGGCATTGACAAATTGTATTAACGAAGTCAAGGATATTTTCTTGTTCAACTTCTAATGGAGTTTGAAACTAACACAGGATAAAAACTCAGCCTGAACATGATCCTTAGAACAATCATCTTGCTGTGTAAGCACAAACTCTGGACTTGCTATTGACAACATACCTGACTTTTTGAGGGGTTTTTCTGCATGTTTACCGTGCCTCAAATCATTGGTTAAAATCTATAAAGTATTAGTGTAAAGTAGTCTTCCAGAGACTTAGGTCATCATGGTACAGCTGTAGCAGAATGGTCAAATAGCTAGTATAGTTGATAATTACTGATATAATTGTTTACAAGCCACCATATTCTGAACTGCAATAGCTTAAACTAAAATTCAGTGCTGAGCTAATATCAAGACAAAGAGAGAACATTAACAATAGTAAAAGATTTAAAAGGTGCAAAATGCAATATTATCTAATTTCACATTTAGCTAGCATGTGAGAAAGTGTCATCTATCTATATGCACTGAGAATATTAATAATGCTGTATACAAAAGGTCCATTTAACAAGAAAATGTAATTTTTTATTGAAGCACTATGGAACAGATATCATGGAAAAGTCTAAAACACTAAAAGGTTCTGTCTTGGAAGTTCAAGCCCTGGACTATGAACCTGAGGCATGCTTTTTAACCAGTAATAACAACAATCACTTACTACTGTTTCCATGCAAATTTACTGGTGTATACTGTCTCATCTGTACTCCTATTTTGGTATGCGTTTGTCTACTTTATTCTAGTTGTAAGAATGTTCTTCCTAACTTTCACACTATCAATCTAAGGAATACAAATAGTTCAGGGCAGAAGAGATTTTTAAATAACCCAATACATTAATAATTAAGATTGTAGTTATGCAATAGTTAGAAGAGATTTGAAAATACTTTTTATTAGATAGCTTATTTCATACATGTTTACTTCCAACAAAATTATAAAATAATGTATTATATTTAAAATCTCTATGCAAGTGACAAGATAGTAAAACCTATCAGAAAAATAAAATCGGTGTAACTGCTAACTAAAACATTTTATTCCAAACAGTTTACACTCATTTTCTCTGCTTGTGTGTTTTTTTTAATCTAAAGTTTTGACAAGGTAGTAGTACCTTAGCACTAGGAAAATGTTTTTTCTCATGGTGGCATTTCTCCTTTCCAGTTAGGTTGTTTCTCTGTCCTCAAACCTCCAGTCACAAGCACAGATGCAGAGAGGCTGACCAGTAAATGAGGTTTTCTCTCTCTCTGTATAGGCCCATAACTCATCTCAGAGAATGATAGGATGTAGCTCAACCTTGTAACAGCTAAATTGCAAACCTTGTGTCTGCCAGTGGTTTCTTGTGTTTTTTTAAAAAATGGCAAACAATACTAAGCTATTTTTGTATCATATTTTTGTTATTTGCACCCAGAAGCAAAAGTGGAAATCTTTCTATGCTGGAAGTGGAATTCCTTCTAAAGTTTTTAAGTCAGAAATATCTGCACTTTGAAGATCAAACCAAAGTGGAATTTAAAGATGGATGTTTTAAGTTCCAATAAACCCAATAAAAAGATTACAAAGGCGATTACAAGCACTGGAGTAAAAAATACACCATTTACAAGAGCTGTAGTAAAAATACCCTAGTCCATCAATTCCGAATGTAGATTGCTAGTTTGCAGAAAGTCTGAAGAAAAGATTGCTCCTGAATGGTTGCCAATGTGGTATTTTACACGGATTTGAGAAATTGCAAAAAGCTGTTTATATCTGATGATATGTTTGGTGGACATTAAAAGTTGAATGATACTTTCCTTATCGTAAAATTAGAGGCATCAAATAATTGTGAACATGATTACAGATCTAAGCTCATTATTAACTTTATACAGAATCCAAAGGAATCTAGGAATGACCTTTTCCTGTGTCGATGAACTATGCAGTCATGTGATAACATTATTAATTTACTGAATAAAAGTATCACTCATGATCTGGCAATAGAAAGCCTAAATTCTTCCTCTTGATAGTATAAAAGAGGTTTAGTTCACAATTAGAAATTTACTCAAGGTAAGTTCATTTTTACCAAGTTCCAAATAATATTCAATCACTAGGTGCAAAATCTATTGCTTACAGGGCTGACTTTACACATAATTGAAATATATCATGAAAATTATTAAAGTGTACTGGCAACTATAATGAGAAATGCACAGTACTATGACAAATTGCTTTTGATAATTAAGAAGAAATACAAAAATAAGCTTGCATCACAGCTTTCTCAGTAAAATATGAAGGAAATGCAAATCAGCTAGGCAGACTAACTTTGTAACTCTTTGAAGAAAACTCTCTCCTTGATTCATGTGGTGTACGGGAGTTGTATATTTTTATTCATCATGTCTTAAGATTTAAGGTGTTGCAATATTTATTCGGAGAGTGAACATCTCCAGTTCATTCTCCATTGCATCGTGTCTACCTTTACCCGAGTCAACATGTCTTTCCTGTCTGACTGCTGCACCTCTGAACGGTGTATTTTCTCATCTTTACTACAAGCTTCCTTTCTAGACAGAATCGATGTTTTTTATTTGCTTGTTCATTTGTTCGTGCTTTGTGGTTTTTTTTTTTTCTTGCTTTTGTTTCTTTTTATTTCTTTTTTTTTTTTTTTTTTTTTTTGGTTGTTGTTGCTTTTTAAGAAAATTGCAAGCAAAATAAAAAACTGGTAGAAGACCCACTGGAGAGACTTAATGACAGAAAGTTTAGGGGGGTGGTGTTAAAGTGAAACATCATCTTCACGCTGTTGCGGCAGCAGCAGGAGCCTGGGCTATACGACTTGCGCACCATCACCGCGGGTCCCGGCTGGTGCCCTCCTTCCTCCCTCCTTCCTCCCTCCTTCCTCCCTCCTCCCTCCCTCCTTCCTCCCTCCCTCCCCGCAGCCTCCAGGCTCCCCCCTGCCAGGCCTCCATCCCCCCCCCCCCCCCCCCCCCCCCAGCACGCAGGTGTACCCGCTGCAGCCCCCCCGCCACCCCCCTGCTCCTGACCGACCCCTCTTCCTTCCTCAGACCCGCACCCCTCACCCACTCACCCTCTTCTTTTGGAAAACCGCCACGTTCTCCAAGGAAGTTCGCACCCCTGCGCCTGCTTCCCGCCTCCAGGCCACCCCAGAGGCCACCCCAGAGGCCACCGCCCCCCCCCCCCCCCCCCGGCCCCTCCACCCCGCCGACACCAGGCCGGGGCGGGCGGCTCGCAGCCCACGTGCGGCACACGGGACCCGGGGACACGGTGATGGCCACGCGTCCGGGCGGGAGGCGGCAGGGGACGGGGCAGCCGCGGGGACAGGGCAGCCGCGGGGACGGGGCGCGGCCCCAGGGTTTTTGGCGCGGCGGCGGGCCTCTGCCCCCCCCCTGCTCCTCCTCCTCCTCCTCCCGCTGCCGCCTCTGCCTCCTCCCCGCCCGCCTCCGGCAGCAGAGATGCTGCTGCAGGCGAGGGGAGGGGGGGGGGGGGGGGGGGCGCTCCTCCTTGCGTCAGGAGGTGCGGCTCCCCCAGCCCGGCGCTGCCCTCCCCCTTCCTCTCCCCCCGCCGCTTTTATGTCTGTCTTTAAACGCCGTCGCAGCGAGGGCTGGGGGCACATGTGCCTGCTGCCGCCTGCCCGCCGCTGAGCCCCGCGCCCGCACGGCCCCGCTCGCCACCCCGCGCCCCCCGCGGGGGCACCCGGATCCCCGCCCCCCCCCCCCCCCCTTCCCGCAGCCGGCGCCCGTCGAGCCCCGCGGGCGGAGGTAAGGCGAGGCGAGGCGAGGCGAGGCGAGGCAGGGCGAGGCGAAGGGCGCGGAGCGCTGCGCGGAGCGGAGGGCGGGCGGGCGGGCGGGCTGGACGCCGCCGCAACCGGCGCTTTCCCAGCCCTGCCCGTGGGCCGGGGCCGCGGGGTGAGCGCGGCCTTCTCCCGGGGGATAGGGGCAGGATGTGCCGGGGGGGGGGGGGCCCTTCCCGCCCAGGGTCCGCTTTCCTGTGGGGCGCAGGGGTTTTTTTCCCACCCCCCCCCCCCCCCCCACCCCCGGGGAGGCTGCGCTCCCCACGGCGCCAGCTTCGCTGGCAGGGAGGGAGCCGGCCCCTGGGAGACAATGGCGAGTGCCCGCTGGAAGCCGCCCATGTGCCTTAACTCAGCGATAAGTTAAAAGGATGTACGGGGCTGTTTTTATAATAATAATTATTATCATTTGGGTGAGGGGGGGGTTTAGGGCGGGGAATTTACATCCTTTTCCTACCGTGAGTGATAAGACACTTCATTCATCTCCCTCATGTTGCGTAAAACATCTTAAATTGTATGTGTAGCGCGCGTTTCGGGGGGCGAGGGCTGTCTCCCACGCGGGCGCGCCGCGTGTGCGCGCCTCCCCGCGTGTGCGCGCCTCCCCGCGCTGGCGGGGGAACGAGACCAGCCCCGCCGTTCCGGCCGAGGAGGGGGCAGGAATGTCGCCAGTCACGGGCGGCGACAGCGGCCCACGGGCGGCCGTCCCCGCCGCGTGCCGGCGGGCAGCGTGCGAGGCAGCGGCGTGGGGAGGGGGGGACACTGCTGTCGCCGCGTCCGTGGGCCGGGCGGAGGCGCGGGAGGGAGGTGGGGGAGACCCGCTGCCGCCCCGGGCGCGGCATTGTTGCCGCGGGTGCGTGGGCGTCGCCCCGCGGGGAGCGGCCCCGCGTTGCCGCCACCCGCATCCCTCGCCCCGCGCGGGCTGGAGCAGCCCCGAGGGCTGGGGGCTGGTGCACCCTGGTGTCAGCCATGTTTGGGTGGGTATGGTAATGAGGACCTCCGCGCAACCTTTGTGCGCCTGGGATTTATTTTCTCTTCAGGATTCTAATGGTTGCAGTCCTCTGTGTCCTACGGCATATCCACAGGGTAGATTCATACCTACAGTTTCCTTCCAGTGATTTTTTTCCCTTCGGTTTTCTTATTATTTCCCATGCCCATCCATATCGCCTGGTTTGTGGTTTGGTTTGGGTGTTGGGGTTTTTTATGGTGTTTTTTTTTTTTTTTATTTCATTCCATTTTACTAGTATTGGAGGGAACTGGAATTTCTTTGCAAGGCTTTGCTTTTGTTATGGAAGTAAATGAGATGATTGAAATGTGTCTGCACAGTCACACAGACCTGCCACATGGGAGACTGCAATGGGATTTGTTCCATTTAAGTAAATCATACTTCGTTTTATTTGTAAAAGATGCAGTCAAGACCTTATCCTCATCAGCCATTTTATTTTCTGTGTGATATTGCTACATAACAAGCTCACTGCTGTAGTATTGATTTCTAAGAAAAGCCTAATTATTTTTAAATAGTATGTCACCATCAGTATGTCACTGTGACACACTATAGAACAGGGATCCAAATCTCCATTTCCCCCTCCGAAGAAAAGTATAAATGAAGTAAAGATTTTGTTATCTGATGATGTACTATGCAGACAGCTTACTCCATTTGATTAAAAAATGATGACAACATACTGAGTTTTTTCTATTTAGTCGTCTGTTTCCTGTTATCAACATCTCCTTAAAAAGGAAGCATTAAAAATTCTTAGGAAAGATTCCTTAATTTTGTCATGGCTAATGTACAAGATTTTGGTTTATGCATAGACCATATTAAGATAATGATAGAATTACAGCCTGCATTCGGTGCATATTAAACACTCCCTTTGGGCTCAGCTCTGCACTTCAGATTCAAGAATGAAAAATCCCATTGGTTTTGAACTGTGCATGAAAAACCAAACCATTTCATAGATGTTCAGATGTGCCACCGGTAGTGAAACTGATTGAGTGAAACTGCTAAGGCATCTTCAGAGTAGTTTTGCAGCATAAACTGATTCCTCTTGACCTTTAGTGTCTTGTCATTCTTACAGTTTTCTTTTTTCTTACAGGCAAGCAAGTGAAAAAGTAGTAGTGCAGATGAGAACCATATAGATGGAACAACTCTGTCAGCTCTCTTTTCTCTGACGTATATTGCAAAAGCCTCTATGCACAAAACTTTTAAACTGTTGAATTTATAAGAAAAGAAAAAAAAATATCCAGAAACACAATCTACTAATTACAGCTGTTCCTTTTGGTATAAATTGTATTGTTAAGATATATTGGAGTAGTTGGTATGGAATTACATCACTTGGGATGTATTTGTGGTAGGAATCTTTTTGGGAAGACATATTTTATTTTCTGAAATTCTTTAGTATACAAGCAGAAGTGTCCACAACATTAAGGACATGTTCATCTGTGTCTCCAGCTATTTTCCATTACACTGTTTCACTCATATCAAGGAATAATGTTCTTGCTCAAAAGACAAAATACCTGTTGATTTTGGAAGAACAGTGTTGGGTCCTTTGCTCATAAAGTTTATAAATCAGTGTGACAGTGGATTGTAAAAAATGCTAATACCAGTAGCAGCTTTTCCATGTGACTTTAAACATCTCTGACCTTTTAGTTGGTTGCAGAATAATCAGCAGGTGGCATCTCAAAACTTAAGCAACTCCCTTCCTCTTTGAAATTTGCTTCAAAGTAACCTTGCCATTACTCAGGAAATGTTCTTGAATAATTTAGGAAGAAAACATATTATCAGCAAATGATAACTGAGTGCTGTTCTGCTGAGAACTGGATGCACAAAACCTGACAAGCCCATACACAGCAGTGTGAAAGAGCAATGGTAACTGCCAAAACAGTTGCTTTAGGCAATGGCAATAATTGGGCTGAGCTTCCCAGCGGCCTACGCTGAAATAGAGCTCTTCATTCTTAGCCCTCACTCTTAGGACTAGGGGTTCCTAATTTTCTCTATGGGAGAAAGAAAAGAAAAAGGTTGCATAACACTGTGTACAACAGTGACTTGAATCTAACTCGTGGTGCCAGTAGTCTGTTTTCCTCTTTGGGAAAATAGTTTTTTGCTGCTGGCAAATGATATTAGTTTTGCATTTCAAGTGTCAGAAACGTGTACTGCAGTGCTAATGATTCAGCATGCTCTTCTTAAGCCAAAATGGAGAAGGGGTGGGAAACTGGAATAGGACATATACAGTGTTGGAACAGTTCAGCTTCTTTGCTTCTTTGCTTGTATTTTATACATGAACAATCACATAAACTCTTCCCAAGGACAACTTGATTTAGTTACTGATCTGTTCCAAAGCACAGAAGGCATAGAGTTAAGGTGTCAGGGCAACTATATATCTGGTAATGTCTAATTTCCAGTATTTGATTTTGCAACTTAAATAACTTCAGTCCTTTAATGAAATATTTAATATATTTTTATATCCTCTCACTTCTCAGAAGTGTGATAAGATTTTATAATAAAGTTGTGGTCCTCTTGTAGCTTATATGGTGAATTTAGAAAAGGGAGATTTTGTTTCAGGTTGCCAGCAGTTACGCATTTTGAGCTTGACCAGTCAAGGGAGGAGTATTCTACTTCACGCAGCTTCAGCTGGAGGAGTGGTAACTGCTGATTTTGTTCCTTCAATAAAGTACATCTAAGAAAAGACTTAGAATAAGTGACACGTTTTCTCCATCTGAATGGGAAATTACAGTTAGCATACCATGTAAGTCTGTGAAGTATTTCAGTGAAGTTGATTTGTGAGAAGGAAATACTGAGAAATCTGAGAAAGCAGGTGAGAAACTACAGTAAGGCCAACAAAATCTTTAGAGATTACAAGCAATTAAAAGGAAAAACTGGACATTCAAAAGCTCTAGGTTGTACCATTCTCTTAGATATTTATGTTGGGCCACTGATTTAAGAATAAGTCATAGGAGTTATTAAATCTATTGGCAATGAACAATTCTGAGAGAGTAATCTTACTATTTTTGTCAAATCATTGTGTTTGTTTTGTAGGAAGTATTCTTCTGTAACTAAAATTTAAGGAGACTAATCTGGGAGAAAAGTTGTCAGCATTTGAGACTGTACAGGGTCTCGATGTGAGAAAAAGTCGGGAAGAACATTTTGTAGAAACGGAGAAGAAATTTTCCAGCAGTCTGAAACAGATGCAGTGTCACTGAAGTCTGTATAAATACCCGTATTTGCAGCAGGTGTGAATGTAGTCTTGCGTCTTTAAATAGTTTTGCTATAGCCTAAATGATTTAATTGTATAAAGACTCCAGAATCAAAACCATTCCTTTTTCCTAATGCTTTCAAGTCTCCTATAGCCCAAAGAGCTCTTATTTTTTTGCTATGTATCATGCATTAACATGTCTCAGATAACATCACCGAAGAATGCAGAGAAATGTAAGTTTCATTGTATAGACTATAATTATCCTTCATTATGATTGAGTTAAGTACTTATCGAATCTCTATCTGTTACTGACAGGCTGTATTAAACTATCTAGGGCAAAATGCTAGATCATGTAGTTCACGCTGAAGAGTAGCATAATGGCTGCTTCAGTAGATAAAAATGGGCTTGACTAGGCAAAAAGGCTATGGTGCTATTCTTATTTCCGCCAAAGAACACAATGCTGCATTGCAGCAGTAATTCGGTCTGTGCAGTGAGTACTGTAACACAATGTAACTCTTGCTGAAATAATGATCTGTACACAGATTCTCCCAGCGATAGCCATTCTTCACAGTCAGTACTCCCACAAAACCTGGATTGCTCCTGCAGACTTCTCTCTCACTCAGTCAGATATGATGGTCGTTAGCTATTCTCTCCATCCTGCCTGCACCAGTGGCCTGATTCCTTTTTGCAGACTCACAGTAGTCCTTTGCTCCTAAAACTTTGGTTTTCCTTTTTCGATATTGGTTGCTCCCATCATGCTTTCTTCTGCTTAGTTCATGGACTTGTGTTTGAGATGCATTTTATAGGCTTCCTTCAAGGTGCAGAAGCTCGTCTTACTTTTGCATATAATCCTCATCCAGTGATTTCATACAGACTGAAACCTTTGGTGTGAATATCAGTCAAGATCTTTTATGAACATCTGCCATGGTGAGAATCCTGACTTTTGGTTCTGTGTCCTCTGCTGAATCATACTGGTTTCTTCACTGGGAGTCGATGTGGAGATCTTATTAACAGGAGCGCAAGACGTAAGCTTATGGGACTGGACTGGTACACTGCGCTATCACAGTCTACCTTCAAAGCAGAGATTAGAGAAATGTGAGCTGGCTGCAGTTTTATATTGCGTTTTTCTACCCCCACAGCAGCGTGTTGGTATGTTAACTGCTTCATCAGAGAAGAAAGCAGAGCACTGAGGAACAGAATATTAATCCTTTTCTCCCTTTAATGGCAAACATTGAACTTAAAAAGGTATCCATTATTTCTTTTTTCTATTTTTATAATGTTATAGTAGCCATCTACAATGTTACTTTCTGTCTGGGCTATCTTGATAGTCTTTTATGAAGTAGAAACACAGTATTTTAATTTTTTTCCCCCTTTCCTTCCAACTCACACTGAAGACTGAAGCTGTTTTTGATCAAAGGAGATTTGAGGATTATTTGTAATGCATTAAAATTTGAATGTAGATAATTTTGCTGAATTGATGTGTTTTCTTCAGATGTAAAAATAATAAAATACATTGTGATCGAAAAGAACAGAGGATTTTTTGGGCTTTCTTTTTCAGAGGGGAGTGCTGGTTTTAGAAAGGAACACAATGTAAAAATAATAGTGTTTTAATTTATGCCAGAAAAGCATTGCTAGAAGTTCTTTAATATTTAGTTGTATCAGTTGTTGCAACCGTATTGTGAGATGTTCTAAACATGAAATTGCTTTACAAATGTCTTTTTATAGAGACTTGTGCTGTAATTGCAAGAACATGGGGCAGTTGTACTCATTATACTTTCAAATTTGTAAGCAAGTGAGATTTTTTGGTGCCTGTTTTTCTGTACACATTGTGAAAATCTTCAGCCTCATAACTTTTGTTTACTGGTACTACAGAATTGAGAGAACTAGAAGTACAATGTTCATCTAGTAAATGTCTGTATATTGGGCTGCAGATCTATCTAATAGAGATACATCAAAAGGTAGCCCAACGTAAGATTCGTCACCAATGTAAGGGTGAAGAGCAGGCAGTGGTGGACAGAACTAGTACTGCTCCCTTACAAGCATCACGTGTAAGAAAGATTGGGAGAAAAGGGCAGCAGAATTTTTAAATGTGTCTTTTGGTGCTTTGACTAATGAAGTTCCTTTGAACCTTACTGCAAACGCTCACATTTTCATCAGCAGAGGCTTTATGGGTCGTATCTCCCTGTGCCAGCATTTCTGAATGCAGGCCTGAAGCTGAAGTTCTATAGCAAGCCCAGATCTCCCAGGGAGCTAATTTGAGTCTGAATTCCCCATCGCAAGGGATTATTATTGCTTAATCTGCTAATAATGTGGCAGTCTAATCAGGTTACTTTACTTCTGCATGCTGATGCATTAAGGCTTGATTCTTCTTCTGTAGAAGAAAATAACAAAATTCCTACTGTGTTCTAAGAAAGGAAGTTTGGGGCTGCGGTTTACTTGATGTGTCAAAAAAGACTCACTGTTATATCTTTCAGAATTAGAAAGAAGTAGAGATTTTAACATATCACGGACAGGTCTAATAAGACATGATGAAAATCTAGTTTATTTGTTTGATTTAGTAAATTGTTTCCAAAAGTTTGTTTATGCTAACTCAGATTATTGATTACTGTTAATTCAGTGACAGAATAATTTTCTAAATGTTCTTCTAACTGAACCATGTACTACTGTTTAGCAGTTTCCATTCTGTTAAATTCCCTCAAACAATACAGATACTTGCTGGGTCAGTTTAAGATTAATTTTATATTACTTTTTTTTTTTTTAAAGGGGATTTTATGTAAGAAAAGGGATACAGTCTTTGTTCATTTCAGTTTTGGAAAAGTTCAGGGAAATATTATATTCTGCAGTAAATGTGATAATAAAATTTCCTTTCAGTGTTTTCATCTGACATGACATCACTGAGTTAGGAGAAGGATGAGTGAAACTGCCTGGAAACCATAATTAAATCAATTGATCAAATTCCATGATCTAGAGCTAAGATAGAAAACAAAAAATAAATAGAAAACCAAGTCTCCAAACAATCAGCTTTAATAATTATATTTTAGACATTTTACTTTTAATCCAAGATGCTGGAAATTGCATAGTATAGTACGTTTTAAAATACATCACAATATTTTGGACTTGGAGTTTAAAGTGATCCCAGTAATGGCTGAGTCTACTTATACTGAATTTTGCAGTTCATTAGTAAATGTGGTGGCTTGTTACGTAGATTTCTTAATGATGCATAGGAGAAGCGGTCCTATCACATAATGCTGTATTACTGCATGAGACTGTGTAGAAGGTAGCTAGTAATGGAACTAACCGAAAGAGCAGTTTAACAGAATTTGGCATGACATTTCCTAATTACTGTTTAATGCTAAAGAAGAACTTAAATACTGGACTAGATCCAAGTGATGTTGTAACCCAAATTAGGTTTTTATAGGTCGAAGTGCTGAAGTTCAATACTGTGATATTAAAAAAGCTTGTTCAGTGGTTCGTGTTTAGCTGAACTGTGCTGGTGAGTAACTTTACTTGCTGTCTCCCTATTCAGTCTTCACTTGGGAGCATTCACATCTAGACCTAGCTTGGGCTGAGTAGTTTGGTATCTGTCTTCTGTGTGGTTTTAATTTGGATCAAAGAGAGAGGCTTCTGTGTACCTCTCTGAGCATGTTCTGGGAGTGCTGAGCACAGAACGGCAGGCTCCTTGCACAAACCAGCTGGGACCATACTTTGAACATGTGTACCTGATGGTAGTGTCTGGTGAGGTAGGACACCTCATTTGGTTTGGTACTGACTTGTTTAGTACAGAGGATGAGTTGTTAAATCTGACAGTCAGAGACCACCTGTGGATTTGTGATGTATCCTGAGGGACTACCCTGCATCCTTCATGCAGTCTGGCCCATGGTACGTACTCAGAAAACCACCACTGTTAGAACCAAGCACCAGTCTGCTGAGCGTGCCTCCCACATTTTCTCAAGCCCTGCAAGTATTGCAAGATTATATAGTGATAGTGCTGTGGATAGCATCCTGCTTAATGGAAGGGTAATGAAAGGGAAATTTATATGATACTGTGCTAGGAATAAAATATCAAGCCCGGTTTGTTGTGGAGTATAGTAATGCAATGTTTAACGCATGACAGGACAGAATGATGCAATTTCTGTTGGAATTGACTCATCTGTGAGAGATCTAGATAAATCATACTGCTGCCCTGCAAGTTACTATATCTAAAATAATTAATACAGATATGACCTTTAAAAACATTTTAATAAATACTGATAGATGGCTTGTGCCTTTTTGACTGAAATGCCATTTGGTTGTCACAGTCAGAGAAGGATTTCAGACCTACAGACAAATACTGATGTAGTTTCACTTGTGCAGCTGTTATATTAAATACAGAGAGCAAACTTTTATTTTAACGTACTCCCTGAACTTACTACTAATTACTAGAACTGAGAATCTGCTCTAATTTAAATCAGTGGAACAAAAGGAAAAGAGAAGTTTGAAATGTGACTAAAGGTAGTGGTTGAAGTACCAGATGCTGTGTCTTACAGTCCCAAAGCTCCATTAGGACTGCTTAAATGCTTCAACTTAATGTATTATTGGTGTTTGCATTCTGGTTCTACCTAGATGTCTCAGTCAGAGCTAAGAGCTACTGAACATGGACTAGAAGAGGGTGTAGCCCTTTGAAGAGTTCACAGCCCAAAACACAACACAGAAAAAAAGAGGCCTGAATAGACATTTGTTAGCTCAGAGATACAGGATACAGTGTTAAGATTTCCCTGTTGTCTTAACAACTCTCTTTACCCATTGTACTATTCTTTGTATAGCTCATACACTTAATTTTTTTTAAGAACTGGTATCAGTCTAAACAAAGCCTGATACTGGTTTCATTACATGTCAAAAGGAAGGTTTATAGGACCCTGAACCCTTCCATGAACTGTGGTGAGCATGAAGCAGCAGATCACAAGGCAGGAGGCTCTACTGTGCTTAAAAAATTTGGGCTTACTGCCAGCGCTGGAGTTGCTGAGAGGAGGCAGTAACAGGAGGGAGAGGGAAAGTGAGAAGGCAGTGACAGGAGTCTAGGGAATGAATGAAAAGAGGTTGCGGTGGAGTTCAGTAGGCAACTGGAGTGAAGTTCAACTTCCAAATCCTTGGAAACTATTGAAAAAAGGTAATTGTCCTGTTGGTCAGGAGACTGGTGATAGTATTTATGGTGACAGAGGTTTTAGTTCTGTTGTGAACTCTCATTTCGGTAAGCTGTGGGCTGGGTTCCAGTGGCTTAAAGTCTTTTCTTCTGGTCTGTCACTGAAGCAGCCCTGAGGTGCTTATCTCTCAATTATTGTGCTAACAGTCCAGTAACACCTTGCAGTTCTCAGCTATGTGCGAGTTCATCAGAACATGATACAGCCTTTGTCCCATAGACCAGATGTTGCAGCAAGTCCATAAGCAAAAGCTGAGAGGTCTCAAGTATCCCAGAGTAATTTCTGATTCTCATCAGTTAGCAGTTCTTGATTAGACTCCTTGTGTATTCCCTTTTTAGGGTTTTCACGAAGCTTAACACATAATCTAAATCCCTTTTAAGACTCTTAATTGTGCAGATGGCTTTGCACATACTAGTTTTATCCCATGTGATTACTGAAGAATTTCTTGAACAACATTCCTCCCCAAAAATCTTATGGGTACCTTCAGTTTGGCAGCTGCAAGCAAGTCTATCTTTTGAAGTGATTCATTGTGTTAAGGAAAAACATTTATTCAAATGCAGGCGTTTTTGTGTCTGTGCATAAATGTTTGAAACAGCAGACCGTTAAAATTGACTTGGTTATGGCTTTCCAGATGTTTCAGATATGTTTAATTATTTCTTATTTCTAAGAAACTACCTAAAGCATCAAAGCTCATAAGAGATGAGAATCTCTCATTTGAAAATATGATTATGGTTATATATTCCTTCATAATACAGGAAAATAAGTCACCATTGCTTTTGAAGCACTAGGTGCATCCTATAGATAAAAATTTTAATTTCTGCATGACTTTCTGAAATGATCTGAAAAACTTAATCTACTTTGTTTAAAATATATTTTTAATAAATTCAAGTACAGCTGTTAGGTTAGGAAGTAATGGAACCGGGCTCCTAAATTTTATGTAAAATGCATACCCCAGTATGCCTGATAAGAATCTTGTTATGTTATGCTGTCAAAATATGAGCAATTAGCCAATCAGTCTTTAGGAAATAAAAAACCGAAACCGATAAAACCCTCAGTCAAGTGAATGAAATGTATTCTACATAAATATTTAAGGGCAAATAGTGGACTTAATTCCTGCAATTTGGAAGTAGTTTAACATCCCTTTCTTCTCTTTTCCTCCTGTTGTCAAATCATTGATATAAGCAGAAATGGGTAAACCAAAGCATACAATTTCTAAATTAAGTTTCTTCTGCATAATAGTATAATATCCTTCTTTATTTTTTTCACAGATACTTTCAGTAGAACAAACATTCAGAAACAGAAGTCCTTACTCTTGATTCCCTGATATCAAGGACTCATCAGGCACCATCTTAAGTCTGTTGCTTCAATATTTTTGGCCAAGCAGAGGGAGAGCTTTCTTCAGCACTTGTCCATCTGTCTCAGCTGAACTTGACTTCTTTACTGTTTTTCTCATATTACAAATGCCTAAGAACAGCAAGGTAGTGAAAAGAGAACTAGATGATGAAGTCATTGAGTCAGTTAAGGACCTTCTATCTAATGAAGACTCTTCAGATGATGCCTTTAAGAAGAGTGAACTTATGGTTGATGATCAGGAAGAAAAAGATGTAGATGTTGAAGAAGGCTCAGATGTAGAAGATGAAAGACCTGCTTGGAACAGCAAACTTCAGTATATTCTGGCACAAGTTGGATTTTCTGTGGGATTGGGGAATGTGTGGCGATTCCCATATCTGTGTCAGAAAAATGGTGGAGGTAAGTCTTGTGATAGCTAGTCGTAGCTAAATGATTCAGATTTCAAGGTTAGCAGAGATATCCACAGTAAGACCTGATCCAGCATGTCAGGTTTTTCTGTTAATTTCTGCCCGTGCCTATGAGCTCTATTGAGAGAGACACATCTGTTAAAGTAAGTAGCAGATTCTTCTAAGATTCTATTTCCTCATTTTAGGGGAGAAAGTTCTTGATATGACCTTAACTAGTGGTCAAACTAGTGGTTAAGTAAAATACATATTTATGGAGGGGTTGCATTATTTAGGACCTGGCTATTGTGCTAAAGTGTTCTTCATAGTACTTGGACAATAAATCAAAGCATTAAATCTGCATTAAGTCTGCATCCACTTTAAAGACCATAGCAGTATTTGGTCTTTAGCATTTAGGTGTACAAAGCTTCACACCTTTACTTTTTAATTGCTTTTAGCTCCTACGGCTTTTGATCATGATTTACTTTGCAGGAACAAGAAAATACTGTAAGAGTGAGAAGGATTTTTTTACTGATAATGAATAGTTTAAATCATTTCGTTAAGGGAATGTATCTGCTTTGTGCTGTTACATAGTTAACTATTTTCCTAAATAACAAGTTACCTTTTACTTAGAACAAAAACATCAAGCTGTTTATTTGTTAACTGTCCATATATGGTCTTGAATGCAGTATGAATTATGAGGCTAGAGACCTTCCTCTGTGAATTCAGGATTAGTGTTTTATTCTATGCTCTACTGTACCCTACTATACTACATTAATGCACATTCCATTGTAGCTGATTAGTTAGCTGAGCTCAAAAAAAAAACTGCCACTTTTTATGATGCAAGAAGTGAATCTGTGCTACAGAATAGAAAAAAAAGAACAACATTTTATTCATGCTGGATTTTAAAAGTTCAGTGACAAAACTGATGTAATTAAGGAGTATAGAAATGAGCCTAGAATATAATCACATTATAATATTATATTTTATTTGTTTTTCCTTAGTTCAAGCGGTAAAAATTGAGTTTATACTTTTAAATATTCCATCTACATGATAAAGTCTAAATTCTTTTATATTGTAAATTTTTTTCACTCGTTTAACTTCCTTTTTTTCTCCTTTATTCTGGCAAGAAAGTAATTAAGTGGTTGACTTAATGATTTCTGTGAAACGTAAAATTTCTTCATCTGTAACTAATATTAACTGAGAAAACATGTTGAACGTAGTTTCTCAAGTCGATAGCTTTTCAGTGGATGGCTATCTCATCTAGTCTACTAGACACTGTATAGAATTGATTGCGTATTGCTACTAGTTGAAAAAAATTGAACCATTTATTAATTAACAAATTTTAAAACAAACTGATTCACAGTTAAAGGTGTAGCTAGTAAAATGTTATATTCTGTGTTGTTTTATCCCAAGTATGGCGTCAAGATCTAGTCTCAAGGTTAATGCATCACAGTGGTTTGTTCTGTGTAGTTATGCCCCTTTTGAAAGTCTGTATTTAAGTTAGTTAGCTACTAATTTTGTAAGACCATTGGATTCTCCATCAAACAACAGAAAAGATCTGTCTGTATGCTCCTTAGGCTGTTGGTTTCATACCATCAGGTGCTTTTAAAGTTATTCTGCCAGTGAGTGTAAATTTAATTCAGACCAAATATAAATGTATTAAATTAATTAATAATTTCACATTTTAGAAGAAAAAAACAAAAACGAAACAACCACAACCTTCAGGGATTATGACACTTTATTAATCAAACTTGAAAAAATAAGTACAGAGTAATTTCAGGTTGAAATTAAATGTTTTCCCCTGCACTGTGATTGCAGGAACTTGGATGTATAACATAGTCTGTGGAGATGTAATGTGTTCTGCACATGGCTGCGACAAGGATGTATTTGGCTTTTAACAATTTTGCACCATTTTAGATAATTGCAACCTTCAGAACAACACAGAAAAGCAAGTGATCATTAGAGCAAAAGCTTTCTTGGTTTTCAAATTCACCATAATGCAAGATGGAGAAGGTGACACAAAACATTGAAATGTGTAAAGTACATTGGTGCCTATATATGTGTGTGTATATGGACAAATAATTATCACAAGTATGTAAATCAATAGGGGGAGGGAGGGGAAAGTTCAAATGCATGGTTAAAAACCCACACATTTTCTATGAGGTTCCAGTTTTCTGCTACATTATTTCACATATGTTTCATTCTAGATAAAATTAGAGTGGTTTTATTCAACCCATTCTAAATATCAGGGTTAGAACTGTCCAGTAGTCTTCTGCTGAGAAAGCTTTACTATAAATACGTGTTGAAGTCTCTGAGTATAAGGTAAAACAGCCTTCCTGTGGAGTTTCATTAGAACCTTTTCAGTGAAGCATATGGCTAGTCTCCACCTTCAGTTTTGTTCAAACATTTTTCAAAGTGGTAAACCAATAAATGCACTTCAAATTTAAACCAAAAAGAAGTAAAAAACATAGTTACTCATTAGTTTCCTTCACAGGTTTCTTCCAGCATAAAGTGTTCCAAAGTCACCAGTAAAAGAGAAGGCAAATCCTAACCATGTAGTAATCTTCCATTTTTTTTTTTTTAAAGAAACTTCTGTGACAAGAACAACAAAGCCAACAAAATAAACACAGAAAAGACACAGACAAGTTAGCCCAAATTGATGTATATTATTAGAGGATTTTGTGGAGAAAAAACCTGGGTGTTTACCATACTGCTTTCTAGGGAGATTGGGTTTGTTTATGGCTGTGGCCTGTGGTACGCCAGCACTCATGGCTTCAGAGCTCTGTATTGCTTCAGTGAGGTATTTGTGATACCATCTTTAAAGGTAGCTTGTGTATGGCTACAGAGCACTGATACTTGGATGCCCATAGCTATCTTTCCAATTTCTGTTTCTGGGTCTGGTCTGTACCACCAGAACAGTATCCTTCACTTTATTTCTTGTGATCCTTTAACATTTTTTCCATTTGCTTTATCTCATACGAACTCATAAATATTTAGAGTAATACTTGGGGTTTTTTTATGCTCAACTAAGTGACAACTAGGCTGGGTAGCTCTTTGCTGGCTTTCACACTTGGCTTTTTCCCAGAAAAAAGTTTGTCATGCGAGGTGAGAGAAGAGTCTAGTATGCATCTGGGATGAACTTTGATCCACATTAGGGATACAGCTGTAATGCAGAAAGTATCAAGAGAAAAAAGGAGGCTAGGGGGAGTCTGAGAGAGCGCTCCAGGGTGTTCATTTCCTTGACCTGGGATGAGAGGGAGGGCCTGAAAAAGTTTTAGGCTCTGGGAATAAGGGGCTGAAGCTATTTAGTAAAGTTTTGCGGAACTGACTGTAGATCTCTCTGCCTCCTTCACTTCTGTCCTCACCACATGGTCCTTCTTACCCCTTGTAGGCAATGCCCGGTCCCCGTCTGGTACTTACGGCACCTTTTCCACTCTTTGCAGCCTAACACATAAAAAAGCTGTTTCTTCCTTGAAAATTCAGAAAGGGGATTTGTGTTGGAGCTGGGTACGCTCTAATTTAGCTTTAGAGTTTTTTTATATTTATAATTTTTATGCTGTACAGTTTATTTATTAGTCTTTGACTATATGAAGACAAATATGTATGTTTGGTCAGACAGGCACAGTTCCTATATAACAATTTCATAAGCTGTGTTAGCATGCGGTAGGTTCAGAGCTGCCTCAGCTTGCTATGATTGATACTGAGCCTTAAAAATAAACCTCTCAGGTCTACCCAATCTTGCCACTAATAAATAGTGACAAATTAGACTATATTTTCCGGCTGCTCATTGCTATTGTCTGGTGAATAGCTTGCACATCTTTCACTTTCTTCAAACAAAGGAAATACTTAAAGTTTATTCTGTTTGGGTTGTTGTTTTCCTTTAGGATTAGCAGAAGTAAAATAGTACTTTCACATATTAGAAGTAACAAAAGTAAGCTAAATTAGTTGTTCTGCTAGAATAAATGATATTTGAATGAGTGTTACTATGAAGTCAAGTGTACATAGTTATCTAAGAGGTGCTTGTAGTTTTGCAGGTGTTGCTGGGAGTCTACAAAGCACTGCACACCCAAAGATTTTGTGTTGCATTTTCATGAGCAATATCTTAATTTTCCTGATTTTTTTTTTTTTAAGGTCAGTCTTTTTAATATCTCTGCAACATAAAAAGTCAAAAGAACTAGTAAACAATGATAAACAGATAAAACCAGTGAGAAGCATAGGGAAATCTGTAGCAGATTAACTTGCCATTGTGTTTTGAAAAGATTAACGGAGTAGAGTCACATCATGAGTTTTTACAGTTAAGTACTCTGGATTTTATACTGAAATGAACAGTTAAGTTCTGTGGTCTCGTAAAAGCACAGCAGCAATTGCTGAGAACTGCTGAGGAAATAATACATAAACTGTTAAAGACTAAGTAATCATTAGAAGCTACAGTCTGATTGTCTAATACAAGCAGAATGGGAGCAAAACAAGTATTCCCTTGTATTCCAACATGAAGTATGGATTCAGTGTCTTCATTATTTAGCTTTTATAATTTATAATCAGTGCCTTGAATTCACTAATGACTTCAATATTATTTTGTGAGTTCTGATTTAAACTGTATTATCAGCCTCAAAATTTAGTTCTAATTCAGTGTGATGAAAATGTCTTATTTTTATTTTGCAAGTGTAATTCTTCATTAAAGCTTATTGGCTAAGGGGATTTTCATCCTTTAAGCACAGTTATGTAAACAGGCACACCTGAATATATTTAAACTGTGAAAGATCAGTGACAGGAAGACTGTCGTATCATCAGGACAGGCTAAAAACCTGCAGATAAGACCTTTCATCAGATTTTTCCTGCTAAAAGCAGTTTTTGTTTTGTAGTGGTTAATAATTTCACTTCTAGGAGTTCAGTAGCCTGTAAACCTGTAGTGTTTCGTTGCCCACTTGTCATAACTTTGAAAATGTTTACATTAGACATTGAAAATTAGTTGATCTTCATCTGACTTTCTATTAGTAAGTGCTCAGTAAGCTATAAGATCTGGGATATTTCTTCAAGATGGTGGTAAAGGTCAGCTTCATTCACTAATAATTAAATTGGACACTAGACACTTAAAGACTAGCACAGCAGTTTAACAGTTGAAACAAATCTGGAAAGTTACTGTATTTTTCAGGTTACATTAAGAATGGCTAGGAGAAGAAAAGTTCTTCTGTAGTATCAAGATGGTAACGGTTATGTCATCTTGCATTATTGCTTCTGAAATTCTTTTCCAACTCTTTAATCACTATGAATCATGTAATTTTATGTTATTTCCCCCCCATGAACATTTATAAGAACTTAAATCAAAACCAATGTTAATATTCCAGTTCTATCAATGATGTTGCCAAATGTAGTGTATACTGTAATATCAAGAGAGACAATTTACTAGTTGTCCCATTATGGTGCTTGGTTAAATAAAAAAATTAAGAAATCAAAGTAGTGCTGTGCACAGTATTAACATTCACCAGTTCCTGTAGTGTTTTGTATCTTTGTCATTCATTCTAGTGAAGAAGGATGAGGCAATTTTTTTAGATACTTTTTTTCCTTATGAATTTGAGATTAATTTTTTAATATTAAAACTGATGTTTAAGGCCAAAATAAATATGCAAAAAAAAATTGTGACTTTACAGTAGAATAATTTTGAAGATGTAGAAGGGAGACCTGAGGATTCTGAACTGCACAGGATTGTAATATTCAGAAGGCTGCTTAGCTGATAGATGTAGCAGTCAATATAACTAATTGTGGGATGCTGTCCAAGGCCAGCATGTGTAGTTTATTTTTCTAATTCAAGTAAGAATGATCCTTATTCAATATTGTAACTCCCAGGACCCATGTGTTCATGTACTGGCAAATAAGAGACATGCTGAGCTGTTTCCATAGTGATTTGGTTTTATGATGAAGATGTCTGAGTGCTTTGAAGTATGTCTAGCTTCAATGGAAGGCTGAAACAAAATACTTGTCCAGAGATACTGTGGTTTCATATTGATGATAGGGCACAGAAGCCCTTTGCAGCTGTGATATACAGTTGTAGAATCCAGCTACGTCCAAATTGTATCACACTGAAACTCATATGAGCATTATTTTCCATAATGTCCTAATTTTGGGGAGGGGTACAAGATGATGAGGGAGCTCAGCACGTTTGAGTGATGAGAAAACCAGTGCTTCAGGTGCACTGCACAAGCCCTGCAGTATAGAGGTGAACTCGGCTGGCTACCCACACTGAATTACAGGGTTGTGTCATGTATAATGTAATGTGGATTTAACACCACATTTATTTAGTGCATTTAGTTGAATCTAACTGATAAATCTTGCAACTTACATTGATACTGCACCATTAACACCCACGTCAGCCCAGTCTTTAAACATGTGCTTAACTTTGCAGCCTTGTGATTAAGGTTGTGGACTGGGACACTGAAGAGCTGGGTTCAGTTCCTGCTCTAGTACAGTCATCCAGTGGGATACAGGGTAAGTCACTTAGGCCCCAATTTTTTTGAGCTGTTTAGGTTTGTCTCTGCTCAGCTATGCAACATCTGTCTAATTGAAGCCTTAGGTATCATTTACAGTGGTATTACAAAATTTAAAAAACTGTGTACTGTTGGCTTCCAGTTATTTGTGTGACCAAATTTTTAAAGGTAGCGATGCCAAAGCTGCTCATTTGCAACGTGAATTAACAGTTTATATCTGTCTCCCAGAAATTTTGAGAGAATGTTAATGATAAATCAAGGCTATTTCATGGTATTATTTGTGTTACATATTCCTAAGACAGATAATCCTCCTCATTTTGGAATGTGGTTGTTAATCTATTCCTCAGTTTCCTCACATTTTTTTCCTTCTGTCTCTGTTGCCTCTTTTCATAGTAGAAAGTAAGTCCTTTGTGTTCTTTCCATTATGTGCACATACAAGATGAACTACAAGAGACACCAAAGCACTGAATGGGAATGTAGCTGCTACCTCAGTAGAAATAATACCTAAATAGACACTTCATAGTGTGCTGAAATGAGTATAGACCATGATGTTTGGCTCTATAAAGGGACTATTGTAATTTCAAAACCAGGATATTGTTCCAAGCCTGACACAGGTTTTGACCAAGTGCTGCATAAACAATATAATTGCATATCATATTATCATGTCATGAAAAGAAAACTCAAGGAGATATTTCATTGTTAACAATAGCCTATAGGCTGTGAGGTAAATAAGGTTCTTTGTCTGGTCCAGCAGTAGCTTTTCTCAGATTTTCTGTCCTCTATCTTGTTTTCCTACTATTCTTAGACTCAAGACTGTAGTTACTCCATGCTTAGGATCTTTGTATGATCTTTATAATGGAAGGTGATGTCCAATTTGTGTGTATTTCATGAATAGCATAATAGCAAGTGGACCTAAATAGGGTACCAGAAAATCTGAGACCACCTGCACAGTTTAGGACAGTTAAACTTGTCTAAAATAAACTGCATTCCATGAGATAAGCTGCCTACTAAGGATGTGCAAATGACAGTGTATTTTGATAGACTCCTAAAAAAGCCCTGGAAAGTTGATGATGGATGAAGAAATTTAGGACTTAGCTGGAGTCGAGGATAAATCCCAAATTGGTTTTTGAACTTTGTTCAGCTTCTCTCTCATCAAGGAGATGAATAGACTGATTATATAACTTAATAGCTCTGAGTCTAAGCCTCTGAGGTCTTTAGATCTTTGCTTTGTAGCTTGCTCCAACATGCTGCAGTCTGCATCTCTCAAGTACTTTTCTTTAGCCTTTGAGTGGTTTCAATCAAAAGTCCTAAGCCCTTTGAATTAGTTGGCCAGCACAGTACTCTGTATTGCAGCATAAGAGCCATGCATTTGAAAATGAGGTGCCATGTTGCTAACTGCTGATACCTAAATGTTTGTCTAGCTCTAGTACTAAATACTCCTTAACACCAAGGAGGAAGTTAGGCTCTGAACTTGTCAGTACATTTAGTGTGTGGGTATATTTGCTTGCAATTGGTTTTACTGAAATAAATGGAGATACATCCTTAAGTTAGAATTGTATATGACCACTTTCTGGGAATAAGAACTTGAAAAAAAGGAATTGTTTTTTATATCTATATGTATAAAGGTGCAGTAACAGTTGCATTTTCAAATATGTCTTTAAGGAGGGTTTGTGAGTACTGCAAGATCTGGATCTACAATACTCCATTTCATTTCCACCTCATGTCTCTGGTCTCTGTCTGGAGCCTGGTAGAAATGGGCTGATACAGTTTTCTTGCTTAGCTGGATAGAATCACTGTTCTGTACGTTGTGAAATCCTCTTTCTGAGCCTCTGAGGTGCACATGGAGAAATCAGCAGACGATCTTCTGAATCACTTAAGATTGGATGAAGTTCAGAATGTTGTATGCACAGTATTTTCTGCATTTCCTTTATAAATGCAGTCTTGTTGCTCTGTTACAAGTGTAGATTGTTTTCATTTTTTAAGAAATGTTGATTCAGCTCCTGATTGCCTCACTATATTTTTAAAAAGTTTGATCAGATGCCCAGAGTTTCACACAGGTGAACAGCTAGTTTAGATAGTAACTCATTTTCAGTAAGGTTTGCTTCAGAATGTTACAGTGCTTTAGAAAGTCAGTGTCTCTGGTGTTTTTATAGTTTATGATATGTATGGCTAAGATTCAGGTAAAATTACTTTTTGCATGTGATCAAAAAAGCTTTGCAGTGCCAATTCAAACTTGAAGCTGTTAGAAGGTTTCACATTTGTTGTGTCATGTTCTGACTTATCTTCCGATCACTCTGGTTTATACTTTGTTCCCTTCATAGGTGCCTATCTTGTGCCATACTTAATCTTGCTACTGATAATAGGGATTCCGCTCTTTTTCTTGGAGCTTGCTGTGGGGCAGAGGATCCGCCGAGGGAGTATCGGTGTGTGGAATTATATCAGCCCTAAACTTGGAGGAATCGGATTTGCAAGCTGCGTAGTAAGTTTTTAATGTTAATTGTATGGTTTGCTTTCAGTCCGTATGATTTAGACTTTCTGTTTTGCTGCAGGGAAAGGCCACTGATTTGTAGCTGGGCATCAAAGTCAGTTTACAATGTTTTGGAAGTTCTTAAATTAGTACATCAAAAGATATGTCTGTAAAACTAGTCAACTTGTATTTTGTGATTCCTTTGAAATTAGGAACTAGGGAACAGAGTAGTGTTCTGGAGAAAAAACACCTGTAACAGTATAGGTGCTACATGATAAATACAGAGAAAAGTGAAAATTTAGAAAATGTCATGTATTTTAATGGGACAAGCCATTCAGTTCTTACTCTGACTTATTTTAGTTAAAATTAGGTTCAGTGGCTGATGTGCAGAGATATGTGGAAGTTTAGGAGGGAATTTTTTTTTTTTTAATTTACAAATGTAATTAATAACTGTAACATTTTATCTTTATTTTTTTTTATAGGTATGTTTTTTTGTTGCCCTGTACTACAATGTCATTATTGGATGGAGTCTGTTTTACTTTTCCCAGTCTTTTCAGCATCCATTACCGTGGGACCAGTGTCCTTTAGTTAAAAATGCATCTCATACCTGTAAGTCTATATTAGCGTTCCTAAAAAACATATAAAATATATAAGATTTGAGATTTTCAAACAAAAAGGAGAAAAAATACAATTCAAAGAGGTATTTGTGGGAAAAAGCATTGAATGCAAAGCTGTTTTTCAAAAATACAACAAAACACCTTAAGATAAATATACTGTATTTGGAAAGGAACATCCCTGTCAACAGCATTTTAAAGAGTAATGAAATTAAGAGAGTACTATTTAGTGTGTTGCAGAAAAAAAAAATGTGATTACATTTTTTCTGATGTTGATACTGCTTTTCCTGCTTACTTGGTGAAAAAGAAAGGTGGAAGGATATTTCTGCATTTCATTTGGTAGCATACTTCCTGGCAAAAAGCAAATTACTAACAAATGCATTTCTAACAACGTAGAAAATGGAAAATTGTAAACATTAATGAAATTCATGTGATAAAAGCTTTGTTTGCTTTCTAAACCAGTAGAAATGAGACAGTTGGTCATTGGTTTGTTGTTATAGTGAGATGGTGTCACATGGACATATACAACAGTGTTAAAAGTTCCTTATTCCTTGGTTTTGGTTATCTCATAATAGTTACAAACTTTGCATTATCCTTGTTATTGAAATATGAAGTATTTCTTTTAATTTCTTTTTATTTCAGCTCCTAAATTTTCTTTAATTTCCTTTTGTGTTTTTTTTTTACCACTTTATTAAAGAATGTAACAGGGACATTTGAAGAGTTGTACAATTTTTATAGTGTCTTTGCCAGAGTTGCTTGCTTCAGTTGTTTGAAATAATCAGTATTTGTGAGTGTTGGCACACAGTAAATTGACTGTAGCCCAGAAGCTATTGTCCATTAATTGAGCCAAAGTGGTTGTTTATGTACTCTTATCCTGTCTAAATATTATAGTATGTCAGCCTAACTTCAGCAAAGGTCATCTGAACTAAGCTTAAACAAAGAAAAGTATTATATTTGATAACATCCTATCATTTTTGATAGTTCATTTCAGTGAAGATCTGACACCTGTGTTAGGTTTCTTAAAATTACTATATTTTTCCCTTCTTTTCGTTAATTAATTAACTCAGAACCTAACTTAGAGATATGATTTATTGTAATATATAAATAATTTATTAAAAAGTTAAGAATTCTTTATATGTGCTATATGTCTAGATATACACAATTTCTTAACCTTTTTTGTAACGTGAGTAAAGCAGAATTACAGTATAAGAAAAAAATCTGGGATACTCATAGCAACTTTCATTTAACAGCTGTTTAGGAGCCATTTTTTCATTTTCTCATCACTTTGGTATCATTACATTATTGCTTATAATAGTAATTACATGTCTGTTTATTTGAGTGTCATATCAAAACAGACAATGGAGGATTTGTTTGCTATACATTTTCTAAATTGTGTTCAATTTCAGAGAGATACTTTTCATATATGTAGGTAATCTAATATTATGTGTGATAAATGGAATGTATGTCTTCATCTAGGCCTGCCTACTATTTAGTACTTAAGAGAAAAAGACATTCTGCCTAGGACTTGGATAGACCATATGCAGAGGAATACGTTATTCCATAAGGGTGTTTTAAAAAGATATATCCAGAACCTTTCACTGATAGCAGTCACCTTTAGACAATGTCTTAAAACTCTTTGTGAGTTTAGTTTCTCAGTAAATGGTGACGGCACAATTACAGATATTGAGAACTGATGGAACATTGTTACAGAATGTTAGGAAAATACTTCTGTCCTGAACCCGTTCTTTACTTGCTAACATCTCTTGACAGTTGTGGAGCCAGAGTGTGAAAAAAGTTCTGCAACCACTTATTACTGGTACAGAGAAGCACTGAATATTTCCAGCTCTCTGTCAGAGAGCGGAGGTTTAAATTGGAAGATGACTATCTGCTTGCTGGCTGCCTGGGTCATGGTATGCCTAGCCATGATCAAAGGCATTCAATCTTCAGGCAAAGTGAGTATACTGTTTACCTACAGTGTTTCACCTTTTACTTTGAAACACTTCACAACATTTTTGCTCACCACACCCTTTGTTTACTCTCTCACAAAATCTGTAGGAGCAGGTTACAAACTGTGACTCGCCCCATTATTTGTATAATGTCAAGTAGAGGAATGTTAGTAGTTAAGCATTAAAATTGTAGTAATTTTAATCGAAAATGTACTAATTTAATGGGAATTGAGAGGCAAAGAATAATGATTTCTGCTCTTATCAGCGTAACTGTTACAAGTAACTGTACCTCAACTTTATTGTGCAGCGTCTGTGTGTTTCTGAATGTCTAAGGAATTAGGTTTCCATGTATACTCACAGTATGATTGCAGTGCACCCAGGTCCTCAAAACACCTTGCCATTTTTCTTTTTATTGTTACTGTCACTGATATCCGTGCTTCTCTCATTAACACAGACGTTTTTCAGGATTCTGGATTGGTTGTTTTGACTAATGGCTAACCATCCCTTTGTGTCTAAGCATGACACCTTGTCTTTTCCTTTCCATGCAGGCAGCTGGGTTGACTACTGAATGATTTGCTAGCTCTGTTGATCTCAGTGGGATTTTCAGATGAAAAATAATCTGTTCTAATAGCAAAATTCTTTGCTATTAAAAAGTTTGGCAATGAGGTGAAAATTTCTGTGACCTCTTTAGTGTATTTCAGTTAAAGAAACAACTACAAATTTAGTGAGAGAATCATCTTACTAAACTTTAAAGTACAGAATAGATTTGCTTTTCAGTGATGCAGAATGAAAGATCATATTTGATTACTATTTTGTTTTGGTTTGGCCGTAAGCATTGCTTAGAGATTTGGAATCCGTTTGTTATGTACTTTCCATTAACTCTTGTCTTCTCTCTTTCTGAAGACAGAATGAGTTTCTATTCATGCTACATATTTTTACCATGATACGTACTTGAACCAAAGTGAATTTGTAAAGTGAAACATTTCTAAACCAATCTACTTCTGTCCTTATCATCATCATCTCATTGAATTCATACTGAATTTCCCTGGAAGCCCAGCACTTCGTTATCATTCAACACAATGGTGACTGTATTGTTTTGATACAGTACATAATTTATTTTACAGTCATGTGATTTTGCTGTCTTCTGCAGAGACAAGGGGAATGGGAAGTGTTCTGCATATTTCTTAGAGCATATGATTATCAGTTCAGTCATATATCCAAAACATACTGAGTAGTGAATGAAGCTATTGAAAATAAAGTCCATGGATGTCATGTTAAATTTCTTCTTAATGTTTTTCAGATCATGTATTTTAGTTCCCTTTTTCCTTATGTGGTGCTTTTATGCTTTCTGATCAGAGGACTGCTCCTTAATGGGTCAGTGGATGGAATTCGTCACATGTTCACACCTAAGGTACGTGCTTAATTTTTGTTTGCAGTATATTCAAGTTTCAGTGGCAGTTTGACCATGTATGAATGCTCTCATTTAAGCTTATTGTTTTCATAGAACATTTGGCCGTACTTCTGTTTGGTTTAGTTGTGAAATTGTTGTTGACCTCAGTGGCACAATATTAAGCCATAAGGTCCAAAGGCTCTAAGCGTTCCAAGGAACTGTGTAGAGTTACCTCCCTTAGGTGAAAGGTTTCCAGAGTTAGATGCCCTTACAAAGCTAAGCAACTGGAAGTGCTATTTACAGGATTCAGGATGTTTAGAGAGCTCCAAATACAGAAAAGAGAAGCGAATCCTAAATCTTGCTATTCTCTAGAATTGAAATGCCTAGTTCTGGGGTGTCACAGTGAAATGCCTTACCTTGAATGCTGTCAAAGCTTTACTTAATTAACTTTTCCCTTTTGAAAGAGGATAAATTTGTTCCTTTTAAGATATAAATAAATGCTGCTTTCATAGTAGCCCAAAGTACAGGAGTCTTTAATACTAAAGGAGTGTAAGTACTCACCTCTCAGCTTTCCTTACCATGTTTCTTAACGGTTGTCATGCCAAGGTATCAGCAGGTCTAAACATACATTTTTTATTGTCAACATTTTTACTGGGAATGTGTCTTGCAGAACTTTAGATTTTGTAACTATGGAGGTTAGAAGGCATGTTACGAATCATTGTTTAGTCTGAATATCTGAATTCTACTCACACCCACCTCAAATGCTTGTAACTGTATCTGTACTACAGGAACAGCATGTTTGAGTAGTCAGAGCCATACTCAGGAATGCATAATGCTGGGCTTCGTATTGTATTATGAAATGCTCTTTCCAGCAAGTCCATTTCATAATACAGTTGAGCAGAACAGGACTGATGTCTCAAAAACGAAGGCCAGAAAGTAAGATTATTAAAATCAGTGCACATAATGGCTAATGCCTGATGACAGGGTCCTGTCAGTTGTTTTAATTCCAGGTGTTTTGAGTCTGTGGAGAACTGTCATTGTATAAAAATGACCTTTGTTAGCTATCACATTGTTATTTCTTGCATTGTGATACACAGTTGTGCTCCACTTCACTCATTGTCACTGCTAGAATCATGGTTCTCCAGGAACTTGCAGGCTGCTCAGGCAAATTTGGGAAATCTGAGGAACAGAGAAATGCTTAGTGATGAAGAGAAAGTCTATAGCAGAGATGGAATACAGACCTCCCAAAGTTATAATTTGGTTTCTCAATCACGGTATTAATCCTTTCTTTAACTAGAAAAATATCAAGAGATACTGAGCGAAAGTAAACACTGAAACTCCCCTTGAATACCAACACCTCTTCACCATTTTATCTTTCATGAGTTAGACCTAAAATATGTTGCTGCTGATGCTTACTTTATAGTTACGTTAAAAACTAATTATACATTTTTTTCAAGTGTTCAGATAAACTGTCTTGAAAGAAAAAATGTTTTTATTTTCCTCTACTGGTTTCCAGTTCTGTATCCCAAAATTTAAGTTGTCGTTTAAATTTGAGGTTAGGAGGCCTGTATGTCACATAAAGTATATGTGAAATAAACCTTCAAAAGTATTTTCATTATAATCTCTGTTTCTGTACTTGAGCACTGATTTGGACTGTAGGTTCATATGAAACTACCTGAAGGAATTCAGACTCCCCCACCTGTTGTTTCCATTCACTTCCCTGTGCAAACAGTGTATTTGGGCAGGCAGACAGTAAAAAAGATCTCTAAACTGATCAAGGTTGAAAGTTATCCAGGTAGATAGACATGAGAAGGGAGGGGGAGACATCTTTTCAGCCTCAATTAGTTTACCAAACAGCCACATTTTGACCACAATCACAACACATTGCCACAGAAGAGTTGTGCCAGCACAGCAGAGGACTGGCACACATTGATGCAGGTGTGAGAGCACAGGGCTGATGAAGAAGGGGAGAATTTCTCTGTTTGGCATGGTTGATGAACAAAGCAGAAATTCTAAATAGTAACCTTAGTGAAAAATTTAAAGAAAGATACATGAAAAGCCCACTGAAGTAAACTACTGCAATGAGACTGTAGGACTGTATGAAACTTAAATACAGAGCCCCCAAAATTTCACAGAAAATGTCTTCCAATATCAAATCAATTACAAGTTTATTTTGAAATGCTAAGTAATGTTCATCTGAGAATATACTACCTCTGATGATACCAAAGGATACCTTGCAGAAAGCGAGAAGTATTTCAATACTTAAACCGTTTACAGATTAAGTAAAATTAAGACTATTCCTCGAGCTCCCTCTGGTGGAAAATCTGTAGCATGACTGTGAGACAGCTTGAAATATGTGCAAAAGCTACTTGTTCATTGCAATTATAACAAAAATTGTAAGTCAGAAACAAGATTATCACCACAAACACTTTTTTTCCCCAAATATCTTATATTTTAGTTACATATAAATTAATAAATACAATATCTATTATCTATCTATATAATAAATACTATACCTTTATGGAAAAACGGAATTTTTTTCAAAATGTTATCATAACAATAGCAGATTTTGTTCTTCCTCAGAGCAACGGAGTCAGTCTAATGATGCTGACATCTGTGCTGATGCTTTTTAGTTTTACTGTTTTCAATGAGCCTAGGGTTTAAATAAAATATTAAAAAAAAAGAGTCACATGTGCAGATGTAAGGTCTTTCACTGCTAAACAAATGGAGGTCCTGAATCAACTTGAGAAAATCTAATGTTTACATTTCACATGTATTTCTTTTTTATGGTTCAGTATCTAGAAGAATCTCAGATAGACAGATGATGACTCATAACTTTGTAATAAAGATTTCTTGAAGTATGGTCATCCGAAGGAGCAATACAGTTCATTTTTTTGATAAAAGGCTTAGCTGTCACTCAAATACATGGCTCAACTTCAGGTGTCACATTCAGCTTTCATTTTATCATAATGAAAATACCTTTGTAGTAGTGTATTAGCATTTTATGATGTAGGTTGTCTTCCTGTTTTTTTTTCTATTGTATTTTCATGTAATAGAAATGCATTTTATAGCTGACATATATTATATCTAATTTCAAACAGCTTGAAATAATGCTGGAGCCCAAGGTCTGGAGAGAAGCTGCTACTCAGGTGTTCTTTGCCTTAGGGCTTGGATTTGGTGGAGTCATTGCCTTTTCAAGCTACAACAAGAGAGACAACAACTGCCATTTTGATGCTGTACTGGTGTCCTTCATCAATTTTTTCACTTCTGTGCTGGCAACTTTGGTGGTGTTTGCAGTTCTGGGCTTCAAAGCCAATATCATAAATGAAAAATGTGTTATCCAGTATGAATATCCCTTTCTTTTTTTTTTACTTTTTTTTTAATGGTATATTTCATTTATGAATTAACACAGATCATTAATTTATCTGTTTTATTGTGTTTTACAGAAATTCAGAAAAGATTTTAAAACTTTTGAAAATAGGCAATCTGAGTCAGGATATGATCCCACATCATATAAATTTCTCAAGCATTACAGCAGAAGATTACAATTTAGTTTATGACATTATTCAGAAAGTTAAAGAAGAAGAGTTTGAGTCTCTCGGTCTGAAATCTTGTCAAATTGAAGATGAACTTAACAAGGTAAGAGTAATAAGTAAGTCTTAAATACAGAGATTATGAATGGATGAATATTTGTAAGCCTGAAATAAACTGTGAAGTATATTTATACAGAGTATCATCGCAGTGTACCTATGAGCAGGGCAGCTATAGAGATTCATATGAAAACATGGTTGTGTGCAGGGTTGCATTCCAGCTCACCTGAGGACTCTTGGATCTGATGTCTTAATACAGTCTTCAGTGATTTATAATGTATTTTGATCATGATATCTCTCTCCTTGGAAGATGATGAGTTTTTAAAGTTGTTTTGGTTTTTTTTTTTTAAGAAGAGTTGAGCATGAGAATTTTTCCAAAGACTAAGCAGAGGTGTACCTATTCAACATCTCCAATTGTGATGTCTTCTAATGTTAAGATATAACTATTCAATATTAAAACTACTTCACTAGAAAGTAAAAAAGTTACTCCTTACTTATTAGGTAGTTGTTTAACGAGTATCATCCTGATTTGAAATCTTAAAAGTAAGCTGTAAAAGAAAATATATTTTTCTAGCTTTTTCAGAGCAACTTGCAGCTTTAAGCACTGACCTCTATACAGTTGCACCAGCATTGGAAGCTAAAATCGGTGACATAGATGTTTAAAGTTTCTTTACTCTTCCTGCCATTTAGATTTGAAACAAACAGATATAGAAACAAAGTCCTTTACGTACTTGATGGAGAAAACGGTGTATTTTGTAGCAGTTCCATATAATAAATATCATGCCAAATTATCAGTGAAAGAGAGAAAGAAGTTCTGATTGGACACAAGAGGTAAATTTTTCACAATGAGAACAATCAGCCATTGGAATAATCTCCCTAGGGAAGTAGTGGATTCACCAACATTGGACACTTTAAGATTCAGCTGGAAAGGGTGCTGGGCCACCTTTTCTAGACCGTGCTTTTTCCAAGAAAGGTTGGACCAGATGATCCTTGAGGTCCCTTCCAACCTGGTATTCTGTGACTCTGTGAAAGAAGTGTGTTGTTAGTATCAATCAGCTTACCGATTCTCAACCAAATCTGATGTTCAGTAAAATAGCATTAAGTTTGTAGGTTTGGAAGAATCGCATACTAGATAGCAGCTTCCCACTGTACCTTCAAGATTTAATTGACAACATTGCAGGAACACAAAGTCAGACTGTCACACTACAAAAAAAATACTGTCCATGAATACTAATGGATTTTTTTTCTCACTGACAGGCAGTTCAAGGAACTGGTTTAGCTTTTATTGCCTTTACAGAAGCAATGACCCACTTCCCTGCTTCTCCTTTCTGGTCAGTCATGTTCTTCCTCATGTTGGTAAATTTGGGACTTGGAAGTATGTTTGGAACTATTGAAGGCATCATCACACCCATTGTTGATACCTTCAAAGTCAGGAAAGAAATTCTTACTGGTGAGTTGCACACATTTTCTTTTCTCACTAGAGCTCTAAGCTAAATTTTTTTTTTGAGAGTATGAAGTCTTGTTTTTTGACATGAAAGTTTTCAGTGCTGATACTTTACCGAGCAGTAAACAACTAAATTGCAGACTGTACTTCCATGCACAGGCACATTAATATCTGCAAGTAAACCTTATCCTAGAACTTAAATTTTAATGGAGGATTTCTGTTACAAGTTTCTGTATGGTCAGTCTTACTGAGCTGTTCCAGAATACTTTCTGTTGCAGCCTCTGTCACCCATCAGGGAAAGAAAGGAAAAGGAAAGAGTGAAAATACATTGCAAATTACTACAAATTATACCCAAATAGGCCAAATGAAATTTTAATTTATGATGAAATGTTTATTATGTTACAAATCAGTACAGTTACTTTCTAGAGAAAAATATTTTTCCCTGTTGAAGGTGAAAGGGTCTTAAATAAGATGTCTAGTTGGGTTTTTTTTTGTGTTTTTTAATCTAAATGCCCAAAGTTATTTGAGGTGTAGCATATTCATGTATCTCTGATGATCCTGTACCAATTTCTCTTTCTGAGATAGAACATCAGCATAAAATGTGAAAGTTAGGTTTCTGAAAATCTTCAGGACAGCTGCAAGAGACTTGATGTATTACACACAAATTCAGATTTCCTGTCAATACCTGCGACAGGAGGGATAGAAAATAAAAACTATAATAAGCTGCTTTAGCTTTATCTAGCTCCGTGAAGGAAATAAGGAAATAATAATGTATTTTATAAGAATTAACCCCTGATGCAGCAGAAAACTGCTCTTCCCTGACTGTTTTCCTTACCTTTGGTAATATTTAACAGGAAACATGTATTTTTTGCTTTGCTAGATCAAAGAATAAAATTCTTAATAAAGATAAATTAGTTGATTTTTCAGATGTCCTAACCTATCGAGCACTTGTTTGATTCTTTTGGGTTTTTTCCTTAATCTTCTCTTAAATTCTTTCAGAATAATCAGTGTAACATTTAAAAATTAGCTGTTCTTCCTAAGTATATATGCAAATACTATGATACATAGTCATTACTCTGGAGTAATGGATCATTTTACAGTAATTCCTTGTTATTGAGCTTAACAAAAACTGCAATAACTTATTAAGATAAAGAAATGTTCAAGAACTGCCTTTGTCTTGTAATTTTTTTGAGTGATGTACGTGCATGATTTTTGCTAAACTCAGTTTTACTCAAAGGATTCCAACTTGATGTGGTGTTTTTGTAATTAACTTGTAAAATTAAAATGCCTGGTACTGCCTGCCTTCATGCAGTATCAGTGGAATTTAACAGGATTATGCCAGCACTAGAGTTTGTGCTTAAAAAACACAAATCTTCAATTTTTACAGAAGTGTGAGCACATTTGCAAATTTTTGCAGTGTGGTTCCAGTTCAGTTCCTTTTGAGTCCAGGGAAACCAACTCATATGCTTAAACTTATTTCGTGTTCAAGTGTATTCTGCATGTGCATGTGCTGAGTTATGATGAGTATGCCTACCAGAGCCTTAGTTTACAACTAAAGATGCATGTTTTGGGGCTGTAAGGGTAACACACAATGAGAGAACATGAGAAAACCAAGGATTTCTAAATTCACATACACATGGTTCTGATGCTCTAATTGTTTTCTCAGGGTCAGTAGTAAAATTCAGTGTGAAAAATGAGACTCAGGTCAAGGAGGTTTTATCTGTGTTCTTTTGGCTTTGTTGTCTTGCATCAGGAGTTGACATCAATTTGTAATGATCTCTTCAATCCCATGAATTTCTGTTCTCTGAATGGCATTAGAACAATAGTTGCTATGAGGTTGAAAAGAGCCATTTGTTTTGTACCACAGTATTTTAAAAAGTGTCATCGTCTTCCTTTCACTATTATAATCAATATTAATTAGTAATTTGGAATTTATGCAGTGGGTATATTCTATAAGGATATTTTGCATTTTGGCCCAGATTCATTGCAACTAATTTTAGACTGCTCAGGCATATCCTTAGCCTAAGTTCCCAGTGGGGAAAATAATAGCGGGCACTTCAAGTGGGAGAACCAGTCTTACAGGTTAGGAACCTACAATTGATTTCACAATTTATTGAAATTTAGCTTATTTTATGGCTATTAAGCATTCAGTCGTACTTTTGATGAATTTAGTAGCAAAAAATTCTGTTGAGATTCATTATGCGGCATCAAGCATTCAAGAAATATATTTCCTGTTGTCCCTAAACAAGAGAAGGGTCAGAAATGTTGTTGCTTAGTGCACAAATACATTTATTCAGATCCTAATGGAACTTCATGCAGCAAATTATCTTTTAGGAGAAGTCTATTCAGTCTTTATATATTTTAGAATCACAGTCTGAAACTTTGGTTCTTTTCACTTGTAAATTCCAAAAATTGATCTAGCAACCAAGTAACATGATGTATAACATTTAGCTTACCAGTTCTGTTTATTTTAGCCTTGCATTCACATTAAGTTAAATGTTAAATGAGAAATAGTTACTTGATTAGTCTCTGCAGCTTAATCAGGACTGCTGTAATATGGCAATTATAATAATTCTAATTTCATAACTTCTCTGTTATGTAGGGGACAGGTAGGATTCTTAATACTCTTAAAATTGAGACCTCCTAAAAAGTAAAATGTTATCAGATTTGTTTATATGAAATAATGTGTTGATAGTATATCTTTGCTGGTTTGAACTCTTTATTTCTTCTTTGTCTGTGAAGCTTTGATATAATTACAGCTCACACTTCTGTTCTTTATTCCAGTCATCTGCTGCTTGGTAGCATTTTTTATTGGCCTGATCTTTGTGCAGCGCTCTGGAAATTATTTTGTGACAATGTTTGATGACTACTCAGCTACTCTACCCCTGCTTATTGTGGTCATTTTGGAGAATATTGCAGTCATCCGAATTTATGGAATAGACAAGTGAGTAAAGGAAATGTATCTCCTTGTCTGTATCAACAGTATTAATTGCAATAGTTATTACGATTTTAATTATATTGTGCAAAGTATTTGCAGTGTACACACAAATACAAGTACATGTGAGAGTGGGTCAGTCTGGATGTAAATCTCTTCTGTTTATAAGAACAGGTTTGGAGCAAGATACACTGCATCGGGACAGCGTAGTGAAACTCAAGGAGCTATTAAAACAGATCCAAAGAGAGAAGAACGCAGTAGAAGAGACAAAATTAGAGAGTTATAAAGGTGGCTGGACATGCAAGTGTGAGGAACGCAAGTATGTAGAAATAAGACGGCAAGAGAAAAATTTCAAGAAGTAATAACCATGGTCTAAGCAGCAGATAATAATGAGTATTCTAAACACATCTGCAGTATTCCAGGCAGCCAGAGAGAGGAACAAAGCAAACTCTAATGGTGGTAACAATAAAAAAGTTTCAATTTAATAATTAGATTTAGTTAGAGGTGTTGTAGCAATTATTTGTTCTTTACATTAGTTGTGAGAGAGGAAATAGAGGAAATGATAGAAAAGAACAGGGTCAAAACTTACTGGAGAACAGCACAGTTGACAGTGAAGTGACCTTGTCTAGGTGACAGCTGAAAAGACCATTAAATCCCTCTAATTTTTTTACCTTGTATGACTGAAATCACCAGAATGTGTTCACTAAGTGAGATCAATGTGTGCCACACTTAAGGAATAGAAGAGTTTATATCAGAAATAACTCATGCCATCCACAGATAAAAGAGAGTATGCTATACTAGCATGTTGAAGTAATTTAAACATCTGTGATTCCTTTGCATGTACAAAGGGTGACAAAGAATGGGTGGGTTTTCATTTGACTTTTCACTTGTTCAATCTGAGTAATCGGCCAGTCCCTTGCCATAATGAAATAAAACTATATGAAAATTTAGTTTTATGGTTTCCAGACATTGTTTCTGGTCTGTGCAAGCAGTACATGGTCTACTTACTCATTAAGGGAGAATTCTCACTTGGGCCACATGTATAATCCTAAAATTGATCACATAGACATGAAAACACCATGTAGATGTTTTTACACATGCAAACAAAAGGTGAAACGGGTGACCTGATTATCAGGTTGCTAATGTTCAGTCAGGTAGAGTTCCACTGTGAAGGGAAGTAGACATGCAAGGGCAGTAGTCAGCAAATTGCCTGAGGAAGCTGGTGTTTAGGAGTAGCTAAAATCTGGTAATACTTACCTTTGGAATTAGAGTGCAGTTGATTCATGTTTTCAGAAGGGGTCCTGACAGGATATAGTGAAAAGTTAACAGCCACATTTCTCATTCGTAACAGCCACCTGAACCTCGCTCTGGAGAATTCTTAATATTTCTTCTGATGTGTATTTCTCCAGAATATCCTTCTTCAGGAACTTAGCATTCTTGTTTGCAAAAACTGCCAGAAACAACTTCCGGTTGTCATTGGCTGTGATAGTACCAAGGGGTCCTCCTCGTAGGTGGAGATCCATATATATGTCTTATTAGACACATTGTCTTTCATCAGATAGAAAAAAAAAATAGCAACTATTGCATCTAAAGGGATTGCAACCAAAGGATAGGAAAAAAGACAACACATGAATCCCTGTAGCCAAGAAGAAAAATGTGCTATGCTAGAATTGGTGCTAAAGGAGCTTAATAGCTTTTAAAAGAGGATAAGTAGGATAGAGATGATGAAAGACTTTAAAGTGAAGATACATTTATGTTCAACTGGATGAAGAACTGGAGATCCCAGATATAAAAGGTTATCTATAGAGGGCGTGATCCATTTGTAAATTCAGCTTCTTTTTAATGATGTGTGTCATTGCAGTGTAAACAAAGGATAGAATATTCCAACCTAAGCAGTTCAAAAAAATTTTTGAGTTTATATGACAGTAGCTTCACATGTGTAACTGCTTTGAAAATGTATTTATTGCTATAAGAGCTTTTTTGAGACACAAATTTCAAAAGGGAGTGGGACCACAAGGGAGTTAAAACAGAATTGGTGCTTGTGCACACTACAAAAGAATTAATTCTAAAAATATTCTCTCTTTTTCTACTGGCTCTGGAACTATGTACTCCTCCGTCAAGAGTACAAAAATAGGAGTTCTGTTCGTATCATAACTTGCAATTTTGAGGCACAAGGAGGCAGATTTAAAACTTAACAAGGTTTTATTTCAGCAACTTACATGTTGCAAACCATAGTGTATGCATAAAGTTATTTTTTACACTGTAGCACACATGTAGGTTCAAAACTAATTTTGCAGAATCTGTAAGATGTGCTGGTTGTATATGTCCTCAAAAGTAATTACACTTGCCTTAGTAAACAACCTAACAGACAATATAATAAGATGTAAAAAAGAACCTTACAAAAGAAAGGTAAATTTAAACGTGTTTCCAGCATGGTCCAGCAAGCAGTTTACTAAGTTGCTGCACTGTGTAATGATTCCTTCTGTTCATCTGTTCTGATCTAGTAATCTAGACTGCAGCGATTTACACATATACATTTTTTCAGTGTGTCTGTTCCCTCAAATCAAGTGTATCAATTACAGCACTTGGAATCTCAGTGTATGAACTAACAATAACCTTTTTTTCCCTTCACAGATTTATGGAGGATCTGAAGGATATGCTTGGGTTTTCTCCAAGCCAGTATTATTACTACATGTGGAAATATGTTTCACCTTTAGTATTATTATGTTTGCTGGTAGCTAGCATTGTCCAAATGGGATTAAGTCCTCCTGGCTACAATGCTTGGATTGAAGATACGGTATGTATATAACAGATGACATCACCATCTTAATGATCATAGCTGAAGTATTTCAGAAATACGTGAAAAGACAAAAATTCTGGAATTTTAAATTCAAAATCAGTCTAAATAATGACATAGTTGTTTTTGTCTAAAGTAACATTAATGTAAAACCAACCATTTTTTAATTTTAGAGTAGTTCTGCTTTAAAATATAGCTGCTTGACATGAACCTTCATGCTTCTTGTGGCTTTTACTTTGTTGATGTATGCTGAAGAAATTCTTAAGGTTAAGAGGTTGTTCATTTTCATTAAATCTTACTTTACTGCAGAAAATAGTTGGGTGATAACACTGAATAAATCATTTCATATACCACATCAATTTTTTATGTGGAATTAAATATTGAGATTTAGTCATGTCATAAATTTTCCCCTTTGGGAACATATACCAGATTGTAGGTAACAGCTGCATTAAAACCTGTCCCTGATAAGAATGTCTGATTTGTAAAAAAATTCTCTGTGTGAACTGCAGTCAGTGCTGCATGTTGGCTCCAAAAAGAGATTCAATCAAGCTAACTCCTAAGAGTTCTAGCTTGTAGGTTCATCAGCCCTCAGCTGTTTTTACAGACTTGTCATACAAGATATAGGGAGAGTAAAATGTCAGAGAAATGAATCCCAGGGACGCTTCTGAATGGACAGTTGTCCGAGTTAGCCAGCAGGGAAAATCACAGCAAAGACAGGTAAGGTGTAAATACAAGAGGTTGGCTTTACTAGGGGTAGATGCCTTCCAGACAACCACTACTACTTTCTCAGGATTCTCAGAAAAATACTCTTGTTATGCTTGATTCTTGCTCTCAAAAATTAGGAGAAATACCTTAGAATACCAAACATACCATTCCTTTCCATGTATAAAATTAGGCAAACTGAGTCTGTTGGCCAGTGATTCATGGCTGCAGCAGAGGTGTGGGGTGTAGTCACTGCCCCAGTAAATGTGCTACAGTTTACATGAAGTTTATACAAAATGAGACAATTCCACAGATTGATCTGAGTCAGTCCCTGTCTAGACCAGCTATTAGCCTACAGAGCAAGGCCTTATTTTCCAGGCACAGTTACAGATACCACTGCACACTTCTCTGTTCTGAACATCCTTTAAAGGATCAGGGAACAACTACAGACAAATGTAGCAGAAAGCCTAAGGTGAAAATCTTGTTTGGGGTTCTGCTAGAGTCGTTTCAGCATCTCAGAAACTGTGCGGCAGTGTTTTGGTCTTACTCACTGGCAGAAAGATAGCGATCCTACATCTCCATGACTGTTCAAATTTGAGACCTGTAGTGGTGCCCACATTGTAGGTGCAAGGTGACAAAAAGATGAGTATGTGTTTGAAAACTGCAGGCCTTGGTGAGGGCTGCAGGTTTGCTCTTTTTTAAGTAAAGATGTCTTAATAGTGCTTCTCTTGGGTTGCTCAGGCTATGGAAGAGTTCCACAGCTATCCAACATGGGGAATGATTGTCTGTATATCTCTGATGGTGTTGGCCATACTGCCAGTTCCAATAGTCTTCATGGTGCGCCGTTGCAACCTTATTGATGACAGCTCCGGTAGTTTGGCATCTGTATCCTACAAAAGAGGCCGGATAATAAAGGAACCTGTTAATCTGGAGGGAGATAATACAAGTCTGATCCATGGGAAGAGTCCAAGTGAAGTGCCGTCTCCAAACTTTGGCAAAAACATATATCGAAAACAGACTGGATCACCAACTCTGGACACTGCTCCAAATGGACGTTATGGTATTGGGTACCTGATGGCAGATATGCCTGATATGCCAGAGTCTGATTTGTAACTGCAGAAAAAAAATGCTGTTTGTTTCTCCTCTCTCACTGATCATGGCTCTCCTATGAGAAGTGGTCAGCTTTACTTACTAGGGTGTGATCTCAGGTGCTCCACAGCAACAGTCTTTAAAATGTCATGACTGTACGTACAGAGAAAACTCTCTTTGGATTAATTCTCTGGGTTTTCATTTGCACTGAATGGAACACATTCAAAATCAATTGCAGCCTACATCTGCCAGCACAGCCAAGAATTTGATTTTTTAATTAATTTCTAAATCTAAAGCTTTCTATCTCTAAAGCCCAGATCTCACTCAAATGATAAAATATTTCTGAAGTAATATCACTGAAAATCTTTTATTTTGTGCTTTCAGGTTAACTCCCCAGTATTAAAAGTGAGCTCAGAAGTAGTTCACCAAACCCATGTTTGTGTAAACACTTGTGTATACCTTCTGTAGATACGCTGTACTTATTTTGTTAGCACTGATAATTACTTAGGCTATTAGCTGAGTAAAGAACAAACCTGTGAACTATTTTCTTATGTAATAGCTGTATAGAGCAATAGGATTAGAAAATCAAGGAGTAGACTTACAGGAAAGTGAGGAAAGAGTCCCTGTTCACTGGGGACTGCATAACTGTGGCTGTATATTTTGTGTAAAATATTTGCTTTTTCAGTGTGAAAACAATGTTAGAGTGAGTCACTCCAAGAATCTTAAGGATTGTGCAGATTCTGCATTTTTTTCTATGCTGTGTGCCTAAAAAAGACCTTGATATTTATTGTGGTTACAAGATTACATATATATTATATTTATATAATATACTTGTAATGTAAATATGTATATTATTCTGTATGTAATCATTTCAAAAGTTGAAGCAAGATGGCTTTTTTAATTAGTCTCCTTCAGTTTTGCTTCTGTTTTATGCAGACCATTTTTTTCAGTCAGTAATTGTTAAGAGCTGTATGTCATTACATTTTAACCTATAAATAAAGAGATTGACATGGTACTTCTCTGTGATCTCCTAATACACTTATTATAACACTGTCTGCCTTTCCTTCAGCTGGATTATCTGAAAGGATAACATTTAGCAGCTGAATAGAGATGCTAAAAGAATCTGAAAACAAAAAATGCTGTATCAGTCATCTTAATAAACTACTGGACAAGAACTTTACTGTGAATACAATAGTTGATGTAGCACTGTAAACTGCCATGATACTCTGGAAGCTAGTGCATGATTTATTCCTTACCTTGAAGAGCTTTAAAGTTAGGCATAAATTCTGACATTGCTATGTCTAGTAAGCAAAGAGCAGAATTTAGTTAACATTGTCCCAGCATTAGACAAAGAACCAGATTAGTTCATATGAGGTAAATACAACTGTCAGAATTGTTTTGAGTATGTCAGTGTGAGAAAGCTAAGCCAAACAAATGAAAAGGAGCAAAATCTTAAACCACCTTGGCAACTTGATAAAATTACTTAGAGATACCTCTTTTGTCTTTGTAGGGTAATCCCAGATAATTTTCAGTTTCTAACCTGGGAGCTTTTGAAGTAATTTCCAAACATCAGAAAGTGGAACTACTAGCATTAGTTGAGAAAAAGCTATATTTAAAGCTTATCTTGCATTTGTTACAAGTTGTGCACATAAAATGGGATTTAAAGTAGTCCTCTAAAATGCACGTATTAAAACATAGAGGGGAGACCTAGCATAATTTAAGCAGATTACTCATTCATAATTGATCGTTTGGCAATATTAGTACGTGTATAATGGATTGCCGTTAGACACACAGCAAGTATGTACACAGTAGTCTTGCTGTGGCAGGGCAGCAGCAGACTTCCACCACCATATCACATTGGGCTCAGGGGAATTGCCATGCACCCCCTCTGTGCCCAGTCCACAGAGCACAGAATTCTGTTGTTAGAAACTACTTGCCTGTGGTGACGTGTTTCTAGTTATACAGATCCTAGTTTTAAATCTGAAGTGATCGCCAAATGTCTGCTGCTACACAGGACCTGTTAAAAAGAATGTGAGCAAGATCTTACTAAGTGGAATAGCTACTTCTGTTTAAAGCATCACAAAGGGGACTAATGCTACTTAAGCAGTCTGCTGAAGATTATTCCGCTGGGGAATATATATGTTGTTTCTGCCCTTTTGCCTGTCTTGAACATTTTTAATCAGCAGTTAGATTTTCCACTAATTTAAACCACTGTTTTTTGATCAGTTTCTTCCTAATAATGCCAATTACCATGTCTCACCTCAGCTTCATGAAATTTTTCAGGTGTGAGAAAACCTAGAATGTATGTCCTGTCTTCTGCCAGATGTTCAATTCATAATTTGATTTTAACCATGACCAAACACCCTGAAGTGCAGAAGTTCTTTCAACCTGGTTTAGTCTGATGGGCTAAAACCGAAGGTACTCTCTGTCCTGCCTAAAGAAGAAGGACTGGTCCAAAAAAAACCCTAGATGTGGAGGTTTAAAAACATTAATTACTATAAAGTGTAACATTCAAGACCTTAGATATTAGTGAAGGAACTGCTGAAGCAAAGTATGAAATTGTATGTGTGATTAATGTTAAAACCAAGGGAATTCACACTGCTTTCATACTTCAACTTTGGGAGCAAGTTGCTACTTGCTGTTCTTATGGATAAAAAGAAGTAAAAGAAGAGTAGAAGGTAGGAGAGAGGTTTATGTACTTAAAAGACAAAATGCGTGTCGTGTCAGTCATAACCACCATTAACTTGCCTCTTTTTTTTTTTTTTTTTTTTAAGCAAAAGATCATTGCAAAAGGCCATCATGCTTAAAATAAATCCTATTTGTGTTTTACACAATCAGAAATAGCCTAAGAACAAAATCTTCCATGTGGAAAGTGAAAATAGATTTCCGATACAATTTATTGCAGAAGGCCTAAGGTTTCTGAAACCAATATACTTTGTGAGATCTCATTTCCCCAAAGCAAGCTAACAAAATCAGTCAGCATCAGCAGGGCACAAATGAAGGCCATGTCATTACTTCGATACTCGTCAATAGAGGTTCTCCAGTGAAGTGCAAGACAAAGATTATACAGTCTTGTTGCCTGTTTTTAGTCTTTTGTCATGTATCAAAATTTTATCAATACCTTAGAGTATCATGCAGAGAAGGAAAAAGAGAACAGAGAAAAATGTAGGAATGACAAAAAACACAAATCAACAGAAGTTGAGCAATCACAACCTTATTCTCAGGGTGCAGCAGATACATGTAAGCTGATGAATCCTCATGCTGGCATAAAGGCAACAATGATTTTGTCACACTAAGGAGGAATCAGTTACGGATGTGATAGCAGTAGCAGAGGAAAGAACTATGTGTTTGCAAAAGGGTTTTAGATACTCTGAAAATACTTAACCATAGAAAAGAATGATGTGTTTGCAAAAGGGTTTTAGATACTCTGAAAAAACCATACTGACTGCCGTGAAAGATTAATATGCACTGTTCAACTGAGAGGCAGTGTGCTCAAAAAAACCTTCCTACTGCTACAGCATCTTTGAGAAATTAGCAGAAATGTAGTTATGCCACTTTTAAAAAATGCAGCAAATTCAATACAAACATTTAAATGCCTAGTTAGATTCTGTTGTTCTGAAATATAAGATGCAATTTACTTCCTTTGCCACTGGATGGTGCTCATATTTCATGTGTGTTGGTAAAATGACATGTTTGGGAGTTTTTAAAAGGGAAGAATGCTATATTTTTATTCTCTATCAAGACAGAGAACTCTCAGAATGATCATGGTCTCATTAAAACTCAGAACTGAACTAATCTTCTATACCTTCATCTGCTTTCATAGATACTTGTTTTTTTGTATCTAAGAAAACAAGATGTAACAAGTTGTTAATGCTAGTAAAAGCAACAACACACTGTCAGTATCCCAATGCCACGTAGTATGTTTTTGGTTTGTGAAAGCAAGCAGCAGCTTCTTCAGTCAATATTTTGAAATCAGTAATTTAACATGCCTTTTTTCAGATATCCTATTACTTGCTACTCTCTTAAATTAGCAAATTAATTAGTTGTAAAATTAATTAGTGGAGTAAGAGAATCTCAGACTAATGTTACTACTAAGACTAATAATATTCAAGACTTCAGTGCTTCTGACTGCTGTCATCAGTAAATGACAAGAGTTGCAAGGAGGGAGATGAGAGCTGTGGGGACAGCAAGGAGCATGGAGAAGGGACAGCAGCTGAAGGAGTGACTCAAGCCTGCAGCTTTGCTCCTGAGGAAAGCAACTACTCTGATATCTGGTAGTGTTTTAAATGTCGCATGGCTTCTTAAACAGGCCTCTTGTCTCAAATCAGCATCAATACCTACCTTTGTTGTCAATTTTTTTCCCGACAAAGTACACAGAATGGCAATGAGAGCTCCCATGCCATAGTCTGTAAATTATGGTGTTAAGATAAGGAATTCATTCAGTGAAAAAACAGATGTAGACATTCTCCCTTTTTATTCAGTCCCATATATATTTCTGCTTTTGAGATGTCCTCTGGATGTCTCATGAAAAAGAAGAATGTGTTTTCCACCACTAGAAGTTCAAGGATAAGAGATACTCAGTTAAATAAAAGACATAGAACTTAATGAAAAGAAAAATGATATGGAAAGAAAAAAGTAATTTGCTTCAAAGCAAATCTAGTTGATTTTCAGATTTTTGATTAAAGCAAAAAGGAAATACATGCAAAGGAAAAGTCAGATTTGCAATCCAAATAAATTAAGGAAAATGTTAAAAGCGTGTTGAAAGGGGATAGAACTGAAATGGAGCTCATTAAAAGAAGGAAGAAGGAAAATGTTACTACAGAAAAAAGGCTCACTTAATGAATGACAAAGTGTAAATTGAATAGGTAGGAGGTGACCAGAAAGATAAAGAGGTATGGTTAAAAAAAGGACTTCAGAAAGAAAACAGGTTTTGATGTCTATGCGAAGTATGGGGTAATCAAGCCTTTAGAAAAAATAATCTACAGTTAGATAGAGCTGTTAAAGAGAGATATGAATCAAAGGTGGTTGAAGTTTTGTTAGCATAGGAAGAGAGGGAGAGAGGATAAATGAATTGGGAAGGACAGGAGAACGCTGGGCTGGGAAGAAAGACTTGGGTTGTGTCAAAGTCAATTTCCCTTTAAGTACTTGAGTGCCTTTGACATACCGAAAAGCTTGGTTATTTTTCATAAAGCATTTTGAGATGTTCTAGGGAAAGATGTTAAAGAAATGCAGCCTTACAAAACTATTTTGGCATAGCTTTCTTGAAGACAAAACTATCAGGGTAAAATAGCAGGTAAATTGTGACATCCATTTAAGGTTTAAGGAGAAAAATAATTACTTAAAAGCACAGAAAACTCAATGTATGAGGATATGAGGCAAAGAAAAATAAGAGTTTGCGACTAAAAGCTCTGAATCGGAGACCACTATGTTACTGTGATTTAATATTGTAGTAAATCTCTGCGCATTTGTGTAACGTCAAGGATATGAATAGACCCAGCCATTACTCACAGACTTGAAATTAGCCAAAAACTCAAAGCACCTAAATGATATGCATTTTACTGCCTGGTCCCTGGACTGGAAACCAGATACCCAGCCTTCCATATGCAATACATCTGTACAGTGAAGTGTTCCAAAATTATAGCTCTATAACTGATCAACATTTGGTGTGGGACTTACGTGTGACAGAACCCCTTGTTCTCAAAAAGAGAAACTGAAGCACTCTGGAGAAACTGTAAAATCAGGTCAGACATTAATGTCTGCAGGTCTTTAAGAAAACTGAGTGTTCAGCTCTGTTCAAGTATAAAATATTTTGAATAAAAAATTGTTTAATAACATGGATGTATTTAATGAAGATGTCATGAATGTTCTGCTCTCCCCTAGACAGCAAAAACATCCAAGACAAACTGCTTACCTGACATAAAAAATAGAGTGTCTTGCAAAAATGATGTAAGCAATATATGTATACATTACCTATACCTATACATATACCTAAACATATATCTAGCTACAATTCAACTGGATTCCTGAGAGAAGAGCAAAAGAGGGATGGAGCAGTTGG